CCGCGTGTGGACCGCGTCTGAACCGCGGTAAGTTCGAACTAAGGTATGTCGACTTCAGCTACGTTATTCACGTAGCTGAAGTTGCGTACCTTAGTTCGAATTGGGGGGTTAGTGTAGACCAGGCCTAAGGTGCCAAAAGGACGACTCATTGTTTTTAGTAATTTTCAGTGCCGTAATTTTTATGGAGTTCAGCTTGAGACACCTTTGAAGGGGACTGACTTTTCACTAAGCATGGAGTTGCCTGATGCCTTTTAGGCATCTTAAGTTGGGCACCCAAAAACGAATGTATCCAAACCACTAGTCCCTTTGGAAAATCTTGACCATTTTGTGTAGGCTACCAAAAAGCAATTGGACTCTGATTTTCAGATGCTTATGACAGCTCTTTAAAAGTCCTCTCTTTTCTTCTCACCTACCTCCACTTAAACTTGACCAAAAAACCCTAAAGAAACAGCCTTCGCTGTCTTTCCTAGACTTTGCCTGCTCTTGTGAGGGAATTATGTAGCTAGTTAACGTTTAACTTGTTAAGAGTTAAAGAACAATCCATAAAGTGACAGGCATTCCACTTTTAAAAAAAAAAAAAGTGTCAGAATTGTAAATCTGCCAACCTCTAAGTAATTCTCATTAGTTTAAAGATTTAAAAACCATTTTAAAAGGGGAAGACAACAGTATTTGTTTGTATCTTTAATTACTGGCTTCTACACAGACATGTTTCTTTATTTTTCTTGTAGGTGTGCCTGTATTTTTATCATAAGCTGTACAGGGGAAATAGGGTGACTAAGGTGGATGCTGGGAGTTTCAATGCCTTTTCCTCACCTAACCTGCCTCCACTTGCAAATGCTGAGGTTGATATTACAGGTAAGCAATTTCATCGTTTAAGCCCTTTAATTTATGACACATGCAAAAGTGCACTACCTTCCTCAAGAGCTGTTTCAGGATTTGATCAGTACTTACACAATTGAGACACACATTTTCTTAAGTATGGATGTGATTTAAAAGCATTGGGTTATGCCGTTTGTGTCTTGACACCACTCCATGTGCCCTAGAAGCTGTTAAAATGATAGTTGTATAAGATATAAGAATCAGCGATTAAACTGCAGGTAGATTTTGTACAGTTCTCTATTATACATAGATATGGCTGGATTGATTCTTACCAAATATCCAGACTCTTGGGAGGGAAGCATTTTGGGAATATGCCCTTCTGCCACAAAAATGCTTGGTCTGGGGATAAAATAAGGTAGGGAAAAATGAAAGAACAAAGTGGTTTAATCTCTTTAATGATTACACTGGATCCTGAAATAAGGCACAGCAGGTGGGGCAGCATCTGTACCGTTTTTGACAGATTGTTCGTGTCTGCACTTTGGTTCATAGTCATAGTTCATGGTAAGGCGCTTTATTAGGTGCTTAAGAAACTAAGATTCTTTTAAATCAGAGGGACACTGTTAATGTTGGTAGATCTAAAATTTGATCTTTCTTCTTAATTTATTTAGACATTAGGCAATCTGGATGTGCGTTCCTGTTTTTTTTTTTTTAATTATTAAAAAAATACATAAGGATTTCAGTACCAGTATGCAAAGTTACTGTCACAAATGATTGTGCAAATGTGATGGATGAAGTTCCTTTTTGGTGAAGAAACTTATTTAAAACGTCAAGATGTCAAGGGGTCACTACAAACCTTGACTAAGATATATTTCATACTTCTGAAAATTATCTGTTCGTGCTGGTGTCCAGTTAAATTAAAAAATATATCTGGGGGTAGAAGTGGTGCAGAGAATGGATGCACTAACCTTTCACTTCCTTCCCTCATCTCTAGTCCCTAGTGGATGTCCACCTAACTTGAAAAACCTCTCCTGTTAGTGTTGTTGAAAAGACTGGTACTGTGGCTAAGACATTTGATTAGGATTTGGAAGATCTGAGTTCTATTCCTGGCTGTGTCACAGGCCTCCTGTGTAACCTTAAGAGGTCACTTAACTTCTCTGTCCCTCAGTTTTCCCCAGTTGAAAAATTAAGTTAATAATACTTCCCTACCTCAGAACGCTCTTGTAAGGATAATTCCATTAATGTTTATACAGATACTATGATGATGAGCAGTGTTAAAAAAAAACCCAACTATAATTTATTTTTTTTAAATTTCAAGTAATTGACAGTCCCTTCAGCCACATTCCAAGATTGGAATACACCTCTACCTCGATATAACGCTGTCCTCGGGAGCCAAAAAATCTTACCATGTTATAGGTGAAACCGCATTATATCGAACTTGCTTTGATCCACCGGAGTGCGCAGCCCCGCCCCCCCGGAGCACTGCTTTACCGCATTATATCCGAATTCGTGTTATATCGGGGTAGAGGTGTAGTAGGTTTGTACTTCTCAGAACTGAGGTGCATCTTGTGAGATTCCCCACAATAACTGCCTTCAGAACATCTGGGAGATAAAGGGAATCTCTTTCTTACTTTTGCTATCACAATTTAGTTAAAATTAACTCAGGCAAATAAATGACTTCTGTAGTTAAGGAAAAAATTTAATGTATTCGGTTAACCAGAACGCTTCCCTTTGTACTATTTCTGAATACTGGGATGGGTTGTCTTGAATTTTTCTACTGAATTTTTATAAACTGGGACAAATGACATTATAAATATTCGGTTTTCTTAATGATCAATAATGGAATCAAACTTTATGTAAATTCTTTCTTGGGTTCAAATGATCTGCTTTATGAGTACCTGTTTTTTGTAGTAGAAAAACGATAAAGCTATCAATTACTTTTTCCTGGCCATAATGTCCCATTAAATTGTAAGCAGAACTCCCCCATTGAAATCAATGGGGAGTTGTGCTTAAAAACTGATGGCATGAATTGCCCCATTATTACTATTTGTTTCAATTGATTGCATTGTTAGTGTAGTGTCACTTGTCCAAAGTGGACGTGTCAGTACTGAATGATTGTTTCATTTTGGAAAACCATAGTTCACAGAATACAGACAGTATCTATAACTGGTGCAGCTTTACTCTGTCTAAAATAAATTTTTTGAACCATGGTTATTTTCCCTGAGTGCACTCCTAGAATCCTCATGAGAAGCTCTTGTGGAGAAAAGGAACCATTTGGGGCTTTTAAAAACACACCAAACCAACCCAGCTATTTTTAACCATTTAAATTGCTTGTGTACATTGTCTTCCTTCACTTTTTTCAGACAAGTCCATCTCTTTTGCTGCTTCCAGGGCCGGCTCCAGGCACCAGCGCAGCAAGCTGGTGCTTGGGGCGGCCCATGGAAGGGGGTGGCACGTCCGGGTCTTCGGCAGCAAGTCCCTCTCGGACTTTCTCTTCGCTGCTTGGGGCAGCAAAAAAGCTGGAGCTGGCCCTGGCTGCTTCAGTCTGCTGCCGATCTGCTGTCAGTTCCAGAAGGAGATATAGACAGTCTACAGAAACTTTCCTCTGAGAATCCAGCTCCACAGGTCTACAAACTGGGAGACAGGCTGGGCTTGTGAGAGAGAGATTAGGAGGAGTTGATTATCTGTTTCCAGCAAGAGAATGGAAGGTGGGAGTATAATGGGACCAGAGCCCACTATGACTGATTAATTGGTGCAGAAGGGCGAGGTGGAGAGATACTGCTGGCGGTTAGAGAGCTATGCTATGCTGTATCTGTCTCAGATCCAAAGAGTGAGGCAGAATAGAGAAGGTTAATCTGCATTCTGTGCATCTGCAGCAGCCTCTTCACCTCCAGTTGCTCCTCTCATTTTTTCCCCATTGATCCATGCTCCCACTGATCAATCCTTGTGGTTTGTTTCTGACCTCATCAGTCCTCTTTTCCTTTAATGTCCCTGGTCAATATTTAGAAGTTTCCTATGGCTTTTTCAGCACCTTCCTTCAGTTCCATTGTCCATCTCTGGACGCACTGGCTGTATCAACTTCCCCAAAATTTTGGATCTGGCAAGCTTGATTCTTGTAGGCAGCGGTGAAAAGATTCCAGAGTGTTGTTCATGTGAACAAGCCTCAGGAAGCGCCCATGAAATACTTACTTTAAGCTCCTGATGCAGCATAGGACAAAAAGCATTGGAATACATTAAAAAATATATTTGTAATATCTTCAGTGATCAAGAATAGACCTTGACTCCAGGGGTGCCTTATAGATTTGAACGGGGCAGACAAAAAAGAAGCCCAGGCTAATTACTAACTACAGTGTATAAGGACACAGTCTCAGTGCATTTCATAATTTATTTCTCACTTCAGCTACTCTTTATTCATAGAATCATAGAATATCAGGGTTGGAAGGGACCTCAGGAGGTCATCTAGTCCAACCCCCTGCTCAAAGCAGGATCAATCCCCAACTAAATCATCCGAAAGTATTTTATTGCCTGAAAGTATCAAACTAAAATCTGCTTCTTTATTCTACCTAGTTTTTCTCCATCACACATGCATATGGTTTGTTAGCATAGGGATTTTGAGTGCTGAGGTTGTCATCATTGTGGTTTGGTTTTGTTTATTTTTTAAAGAAACATTGAAAGATTTATGCAGGAAAAATCAAGTACATAAAAAAATTGCTGGACTTTGCAGATAGATACAACAGGGAAAGATGTGAGGATGCACACTATCAACCTTAATAGCATCACTAATGTAAAAGACAGAGGATGGTTAGTTATCATTGGCCAAGTTACTGTGTTTTGCTTGGCAGTATTAGGCAGTTCCGGTTGTACATAGTAAAAAGCCCAAGTCATTTATTTATTCATATTATCAAGGTAAATGCCAGCTCTATACATTGAGGTATTTTTTCTTACAAATATAGGCATCTTTATTGTTGGAATGAATATTTAGTTGGGATAGACTAATTTCAAAAGGCGTGTATCAATTATGACAAATTATTGCCAGAAAAAGGCAGCTGTATTTTTTTGTCTTGCTTTCTACCTTTAAGAACCATCCATAAGTTGGTTTGTGCTCTCCACCCATTGGCTGTCACCCTGAATTCTAATGAACACTCGTGTAGCTTATATAATGGTACGACTTGCCTGTCACTTTGCAGAGAAGGGTGAGAAGAAAGTGCTGCTGTTTGACTGGAGCTTTGCGATCATTAAAAGCTGTATTTCTTGTTTGATTTCATAACTGTGAGTTCAGTCACCACTCCTTAGGGAGGTGTCACGTTTAGAGCTACTGTACTCCTATAATAAATGAGTTCAAACCTGTATTGTGGCGTTTGTGTATGTGTTGCCTAACAAAAGTTTGCTGCTTTCTAGAATGTGTTGTATTAGTTTGATTTCTTTCCCTCTGTCCTGATGTATGGTCTTGTCTTTATTAGATTAGACAGAAAGAGACAAGACTTTCACCATCTGATACTTCTGTAAAGGGAAAAGAGGTCTTCACTTACCTTCCAGGACCTATGACCCTGGAACCGTCCACATTCTTACTCCTTTCTATTCAGTAATTCTAAACCTTTCAAGTGAACAACATCCTTAGTACACACATTCTGACATCCTGTCACGGATATCTCAGATATTACACCTTGTGGGATATAAAACACAAATTTAAAATCTTAAAAAGTCTTCACAATATACTAAACCAACCACTTCATACTTCTACTGGATTGTATGGTAACAATGGTGTCACAGTCTGGTTCGTGCTGAGGCTTAACAGTGGAACAGAAGCTAGCCAGACTTCCGGACACCGCCACGCCTTCTGCCCCCAATCCCTCTGTCAAAAATGGTTTTGCATACAGTTATGTATGAAGGTCAAAACTTTCAAACTTGGCTGCTTAAAATTAGACTCCTCTGAAAGTGACCTGATTATTTCAGAAGGGTCTGAAGTCAAAAGGGAATTGTGAATGCTTGGCACATTTGAAAATCAGACCACATTTGTAGGTATCTAATTTTAGGCACCC